TAATAATAATAATAATAATAATAATAATAATATTAATATTATTCGTTATCATATATATATATATATATATATATATATATATATATATTCAATATTCTTATTCTCTTCATTAACGGTAGTCTTGATAGTGATCTGGCTTTGGTCTCTTCTTTCCACCCTGCCGTGCGGCTGCGGTGGGGGGATCCACACTAACAACACCCGCCGAACGCCATAATGTAAAGTTCATAGAGGCACTTGATCCACTATTATTATTATTATGATTATTATTATTATTCGCATAGTTATTATGATGATGATGATTATTATTATTGTATCTTCTACCACTAGAGGAATTCCCACGTTGTTGAATATAAACACCAGCATTAGATGATGATGAGGATGATTTCTGTTGTTGTTGGTGTTGTTGAGATGAGGAATTTATACTTTCACTCAGTCTTCCACTCTTATAGTGATAAGGTTTGGCATGAATGCTAATACCCGACTTACTCAAAGAAGTGGATCCAATAGAAGAAGAAGATGATAAAGCACGATGGGAAATACCAAATTCACTATTAATACTACTATTATTATTATTATTATTATTATTATTATTATTATTATTATTATTTAAATGATGTTGGACGTGAGTGCCTACACTATTTATGATTCCACTATGACTTAACGCCGGCACTGCCACTACCGTCACGCTGTGATGATTGACAGTTCCCACGCGACTACCAACACCACCACTCACAGCAGGCGGTAATACCAACACATTATTATTATTATTATTATTATTTGAATAATGATGATGATCCAATGGGTATTGAGTAATATTCATATTATTATTATTATTATTATTATTATTATTCATATTATTAAGATGATGATGATGAGATGAAGAAGATGAGGATAATGAATAACTACGAAGTGTAGACCATTTCATTCGTTCATTATTTTGATCGGCAATGGCGGTTTGTTGGAGACGATCCCGACGACGAGTGGCGGCGATTTCATAATGAGACATCCACGGCCTTAATGTATTTAACCAATACCCACGTTGAATATTTTCTTTTTCCTTCTCTTTATTATTATTATTATTATCATTATTATTATCATTATTCTCATTCTCTTCATTATTATTATTATTATTATTATCTTTATCTGTAGTAGTTTGACTAATAGTATTAGTAGTAGTAGAAGGTGCCACTCGTACAAAGTGTAAAAGTAAAGATTCAAAGGTTTCATATGTAGATTCATCCATCCACATATCCCACGCCAATTGTGTACAGAAACGAATCTCCAATTTATTTATTTCCGCATTACTAATTCCCCCAATACGTGCATAATACTCATTACTATAATAAACATCATCCCGCATCTTTACACCAAGTACCACACTTGTAATTAATAAACGGTGAACATTATAAATACTGACAGGATGACCCACAAAATGGGAATACTTTAATAGTAATAAAAGACTTACAATAAGAGTCTCACCACTAACATTACTATATCGGGTAATACGATCCACATAATTTTTCACAGACATTGGAGGAAGTCGATGGGAATGAAAGTCTGATGTGAGAACCGGTTCGGCTTTATTATCTTCACAGAGATGCTCAAGAAACATCGTAATGGCTAAACTCGCAGTGGCCACATCAATTTCAGAAGTAAGAGCTTTACTACTAAGAATAGGTTCAGTAATATTATTATTAGTATTATTATTATTATTATTTGTAGAGATCTCTGTATTCCCAGCATTATTAACATCATTATTATCCTTCTCGGATGTACTACTTGGTTGATGATTAGATTCATGTTGTTCCTGTTTATTATTATTATTATTATTA